TATATCATGCATCCATGAGACCTTAAAAGGTCTTAGTCATAGTAAAAGGAAAAAAATACAGATTTTTTTGGGCACACAACTTTGTATCTCTTTTAGTTGTTTTAAGTGTTTGACCTGAATTTTTACCTTGAATTGTCATTAAAATATTTTTTTGATGTCTTAAAGTAACTTCGTGGTCCACTGAGCTATTAATAGTTCTCAAGGAAATATTAATTATGCTATTATTCTCAGATCTGTGTTTGGTCTGTTCTGTCACATACATTACCTTTGCAGTCAGTGGTTGTGATCTACTTTCTTTATCATAGGGTGGTTTTCCATGTCTAGCTTCTCTGCCATGTTACAACACAAGAGTGTTACTTCTTGTGGACTGCATTATGTGCACAGGGAGTATACAAACCTGTATCTAGCAAAATGCATTTGGGAATCGTTACTGTGCTGTCTTTGATCTTAGCAGTCCCATTATCATAGAATCATAAAATCATAGAATAGTTTGGGTTGGAACTGACCTTCAAAGGTCATCTAGTTCAAACCTCTTCAATGAGCAGGGACATAAGCAACTAGTCAGGTTGCCAAGAAACACATCCAACCTGGCCTTGAATGTCTCCAGGAATGGTGCATCTACCACCTCTCTGGGGAATCTGCGTCCGTATTTCACCACCCTCATTGTAAAGAGTTTTTAGCTCACATCCTGTTGCAACAAGCTCTGATAAAAAGTCTTCCCACATCTTTCTTAAGAACTGAAAGGCCACAATAAGGTCTCCCCAGAGTCTTCTCCAGGCTGAACAACCCCAGCTCTCTTATCATTTCCTCATAGGAGAGGTGCTTCATCTCTCTGACCATTTCTGTGGTCCTTCTATGCACCTTCTCCAACAGATCTTTTTTTGATTCTTTATTTTTCTTTGATGTGTTTCTTTGACGGGCCACTTGGCCTCAGTTGAGCTAAATAAAATAAAACTTTCCAGACTAAATTGAAAGGATTCTACAGCAGGGTTCACTGTCTAACTAGATAAACACTTCTGCAATTGCAGGGCACAGTAATAGGGAACAGAATGACTTTTTTAGCAGACTTGTGCCAACTTAAAATAATTATAGTGCTATATTTAAACAGCTTTAACAGTGTTTCAGCATAATGCTAAAAGATAACTAACTGACACTAAGTTCTGAAGAGGTCCTTGTTCATGTGTCAGTCATACTACAGAACTTTACAGCAGGTTACTTTAACAAAGGATTATTTGGTAGTAGGAAAAAATATTTCTTGTGGCAAAAGTACACACTCTTAATTTTTATTTTCCAGTGTTTGTAAAACATAAATGTTCTCTCTCGTAAGAGTACTTTGTATAATCCATGGTGATCTCAGTATTAAGTAAGTTTACTACATTTTTTTCTGCAAATGATTCCTGTTTTGAAGTGTGCTGCAAAAAGCTTGTAGCTACAGACAGGTGCCACGAAAGTCTTTTACTGAAACCTAGAAACTCAGAGACATGAATGCAGGTAAAACCTGTAAGTTTTTAACTGTCACAGTTAGGAAGAATGGGGTTGTCACAGGTAATGGCTTACTTACAAAATCTGTGGATCAGCAGTGCCCTGTACATCTAGTGTTTGGCGATGTACAGTACACCTGACTGGAAGATCATAGTGAAAATGTCATTTGAAATACTAACGATGACCTGCCTTTTGCAGACCAGTCCAGATATGCTTCATGATTACTCATCTGTAAAAATCTCAGAAAGTCCACATCCTTGTTCAATATTGTTTGGAGCTATGCTTGTTTACAGCAGGTCATGCTATGGTTTTGCATAGTAAAGTATTTGTTGGTAGCTAAAAGAAGGGAAATTAAAGGTCTTAATAGAATAGAATATTCTTTTGACTTTGTAAGCCATTTGATTTCTAAAGGAGATGGACAAGAGGATGGAACTACCTATTATTTAAAATTGGCCTTAGAATAATTACATTGCTGATCCAGTAACGTACAGCAAATTGCAGTTTTATTCTTTCATGCTATTACCAGCATGCACAAAGTATCAGGACACTCTCGAAATTATGATGAACTGTACCAGCTTTGGAAGCAGCCATAAGGATTAAGAATTTTAGTGTATGCTCTTACTTAATTTTCTCCTTTATTCAAGATGCTGTGTAGCAGGGGGTTTTTATGTGTATAAAAAGCGGGCCAATGTGTAAGAGGGTGAGGCTGCTGTGATGCACATAATTTCATTGTTTGCCATGGAAATATTCAGAAATCCTGGTGACATTTTATGACTTGTATCTGTACCATTATCAAACTGTATATAGTGCCTTTTTGTTCCACTGTTTTTACTCTGTTTTCATATTTCTGTTCTTTCACATGCAGTTGAATGCCTATTACTTGTACAATTGGGTTTCTTTTCCCCTTTTTTCTTAAGGAAGTAACTGTGCAGAGCCCACAGGCACTAGCACCCCTTACTGTCGTGATTACCTTGGTCTGTTACTGCAGTTGTGGCCTTTTGAGAAATTGTTGAAATATGAAAAAGAAAAGAAAAAAACAAAACCATCCAATATGCTTTGAGTCTGGGTCAAATCTTATCAAGACCATCTTTAAGCTGCACTTGTCCCACTGGTTTTGGTATTTTTAAACCTCTTTTTAAGTCAGTGTCACTGCAAAGTTGAAACTGATTCCCTGATCTTATTACCTCATACACTGGTATCAGTCAATAATGAGCTATATTGATGTAAGTGAAATTGAGGTGTGTAAAAGCAGTATGGAAGGGTAATTTCATCCAGTCTGTATCATACTACTGTTGTGTAAATGTGTCTTGCACTGGCATTTCCCCATGATCCATTCGTGGGTGGCTATAGAGTCACAGCAAAGACTCGGATAGCTCATATACTGGTTTTGGACTGTCTAATGTTGGAAACATCAGGAAAGGGATTAAGAAACAGGGCAGTTAAGGAGTGATCATTTCCTTCATGTATCTTCCCAGCTACTGATGGTTGGTCAGACTTTCTGATCTAGCTGTTTTCCTTGTGAGAGAAAGAATACAGCTGTTCGGGCAGCTGTAATAGCCAAATGCACCTTGTTATGCCTGACCTGTGACATGTTATCTGTGACATATTACCTGTGACAGCATTTTTCCAGGGCCTCCTTGGCCGCCGCCACGGGTGCTCCGGCGGGCATCGGAGCCTTTTGGGGTGCAGAGCGTGGAGATCCCCAGCAGAGGGCTCAACCTCCACGGCAGTGAGCAATACCCAGCGCTGCAAGCTGTGCGCAGGCTGCTCGAACAGCTGATTTCGGGGTTTATAAAGCACCCCTGGCTCCTATATATTAAAATTGAGTAAGACCCATTCTGAGGAGTTTCCCAAAGTGGGATGGTGTTGGGTGTAGCCAGTGTTGTTATTTCTGCTGCTTGCAACTCTTCTTTACGAAGGTTTTTACAGTTAAGTTCTTTGGTCATTAAGCCAAAAATATTTCAGCTTTGAAAAGTGTTTAAACAACAGTCCTGGGATGATCAGAGTTGCAACAGAGAGCAAGGGAGAGTGAGGAAAATTTAGCTGTGTTTGCAGATTTTTGCCAGGTGGTTTCAGAAGGGGTTGGTGCTTTGCTCATCAAAGTCTTAGTCTGGTTTGAAGTTAATGGCCTGTTTATTGTGCTTTTATCTTTACACAAAACATAGGAAGTCCAGTAGCCTGACCTATAGCTACTGGAGAAATCACTTTCTTATGGACAGCCACTGCAGGCTGCTAGCGTGACAAACTGTACATCTAAGTTGTTCTTGGAAGATGCTGTTTTGAGAGGTATAAAGCACTGCCTGGTTTGAACTTGAGAACAGAATAAAACAGACTCTGGCTGAATTAGTCTGTCTATGTGATCAGAACCCTTTCTCCTTAAGAGGCTGAGTAGACAAACTAAACTTCTTCTTTCCTTAGATTCTGTCTTCACATCCATGCAATGCCAAGGCCTCTACTCTGATGGCAACATACATTTCAGATACAAATAATTCTCACTGGCCTCTATTGGAGTTGTTCCAGATTGTGCCAGTCATGCTGGATGTGGTTCAGAATCAGCTATGTTCTTTATAATAGTCAAATGTCTCCACAAATACTTCTCTCTGTTAAAAATTATCAGACAAATTTGTGGCTATTTTAGGTTGACCTACTTAGAAAAACAGAAATACAAATTCAAGATGCAGATATAAAGCCAAGTTGCCGTATGTCATCTGAGCCCTAGTAACTATACAGATGTTAGCCTGCCAGCAATACACAGTACTTCAGTGAAATAGACTGTTCCTCTACTTAGTTTACCCAGATGATTATGAGTTAGGGTCATACAAAGAGTCTTACAAAGCATCAGGTGAGGCATGGCAACCCATAATTAGTCAATAGTGGTTTTGAGTCCATAGGCTTTTGGGAAAGCCTTCTCCATTCGTATTGATACTGTGTGTTGTACAATTGTACAAGTTTGGAGAGGGGAAGCTGCATACATCTGACCTCCCAGAATGAATTTAAGATCAAATTATAGACAAAATGAATATATAAAAATATTTTCATGCAGGAAGTATAATGCAGATTTTCACGGAGGTTGTTTAGAATGTGATTAACTTATGAAGTCTTCCCACCAAATTCACTAGTAATTAATTCTTCTTCACAGGTGAAAGTCAGAGTCCTAAATAATAAGGATGAATCTAAGGAAATGTTTCAGAATTCCATAATTCGAATTATCTGAATCTCACTCTTGGTTTTACTTAACTGACTGAAAGACTATTATCTACTAGGTTCCATAGGTCATCAGTTACCTTCCGTTCTATAGCTATCATATGAACTGTATGCCAAAGCGCTTGATGCAAATTGTGATACATGATGTTAAAATGGTCGAGTCAAAAGAATATCAGTTGGATACTTGTAGTGACTTTAAATCACTTTTTTATTTGCCCTCATTTCTTGTGTCTTCTTCTTTGTGGTAATTGATTGTCTACATTTCTTGTTAAACTGGCTGATTTTGCCTTCAGATTCCTTTTCAGAGCTCATTTTGTCTTCTCCTTTCCCCAGACTTTCCCCTTCTCATTCATCATCCAATTTCCATCATTTTTAGTGCAGTCCATCAAGGGTAGGCATTTTCAAAAAGCTTTTTATTCTTCTAAGCTCTAGTGCCTAAATAAAGAGATGGTTGCTAAGAGATTTTGCAAAGCATCATTAAGAGGGTATGATTTGCTCTTTTCCATACCTTCCATGCACAGGTTTCAAATCAGAATTTGAATTCAAATCAATAACTGAGATGGCGGCGTCCCAAAATATTTCTGTGTTGAAATTGTGACCATGGACAGAATACAAGGAAAACATGCCAGTTCTGTGCCACCTGGAGAACAAGACACAGGACTAACTGTGTTAGGAAAAGTATATGGGTTCTTTCAGATTTGTGATCTGGAAGGCAAAGGATTCATCGCTTGTCAAGACATGCCAGTAAAACAGAACTGGCTATCTGAAATGCAGAATAAGAGAAGCTCCCAATGCCTTTAATGTGTTGAGACTGCTTAATTTAGAGATAAAAATTGTAACACCCTCCTGATATGTAGCATTTAATACACTCTCTTTGAATTTTTACATAATGTTTGCATTTGTTTCCGCAGTCAAAGCAACAAAAATGTGGAAAATCAAAGTGAGTGAAACAAATTAAAAATGCCTCAGGAACTTAATTCCATTCTCAATGAAAAAGTTGAAATTCCAGTAAATTTATTACTTTGAGATATGCCACAGCATCATGAATCATAGAATCATAGAATAGTTAGGGTTGGAAAGGACCTTAAGATCATCAAGTTCCAACCCCCCTGCCATGGGGAGGGACACCACACACTAAACCATATCACCCAAGGCCTCGTCCAACCTGGTCTTGAACACTGCCAGGGATGGAGCATTCACAACCTCCCTGGGCAACCCATTCCAGTGCCTCACCACCCTAACAGGAAAGAATTTCCTCCTTATATCCAATGTAAACTTCCCCTGTTTAAGTTTTAACCCGTTACCCCTTGTCCTATCACTACAGTCCCTAATGAAGAGTCCCTCCCCAGCATCCCTATAGGCCCCCTTCCACAAAGTTTATCCCTCTGTTTTTTCAGCAAAAGTGTGTAAATAAAGTCTTTCATTTTGGTTTCAACTGACAGACAATGTGTAAACCAGACTCTCAGCTTTATCAGATATATATGTAGGAAATACAGAAGAACAATATTTTAACATTATTCAATGTTCACAATAATCTTACAAAATTGTTCTTAAAATGTTTGAGGGACTAAAATCAGGTTTGCTGAAAATGTTGGTAGAAAAGCAACTATATAATAAAACCTTTGGAAATGAGATTCAGTGCTTATTGCAGAAATGATAAGATGATTTGGACCGGTATGTGGCAGAAAACAAGAATATGCTCATGCTTGACATGCAAAGCATAATTTCATTGTGTTAATCCATTTCTACTTCAGTACTTCTGGATAAAATAGAGGTGTGGTAGCAAAATAAATTCCGTATCTGGCAGTGTTCAAGGCCAGGTTGCACAGGGCTTTGAGCAACCTGGTCTAGTAGAAGGTATCCCTGCCATGGCAGGGGGTTGGGAATAGATGATTTTTAAGGTCCCTTCCACCCCAAACCATTCTATGATTCTATGAAAATATTTAATGTTTTATACTGAGCAACTGTACATTAGATATATACTATCAGTTATTCATTATGCTTGATTAGAACGACTAGTTAACTAGAATCCCTGTATTGCAAACCTGAGTTTGAAATCAGTATAGTTAATTTTGATTGCATTTTCCATGATGTTCACTTTCTGTAGCAAAAACATAAGTCAATAAAGTAAATCAGTTTTTTTCCATAAAATTTACAACGTATTGATCACTTTTGCATCCTGCTGTTTGTTGGTTTAGTGCTACTTAACACTAATGAAGCGTTGCTTCAAATCCAATATGCTCACATTAAGCTTTTTAATCTTTACTCATGTGATATGAGGCATTTCAACAGACAGAGCTGAGTATCTAAAAGTACAATTAAGTCCAGTGGAACAGATTTTGCATTGTTTTCTGATAATGTCTCTAATGTAGTAATTATATCAAAATTTACTCTTCCCTGATTATATCATGCTGTTTATTTTGAGATTATGTTAATACTGGTTGGTTGGAATTTTTCATTCAATTGCAAAATATCAAATACGTTCAACCTTCAAACAAACAAGAGGTTTTCTGAGATTGCAAGAAGGCAAATTCTACCTGAGACTTGAAACCACATCTTTGCAGTTTGGGCCTTGAGGTTATCATGATTAATGAGGATTAGTGTTGCAAAATGTTTTAATGATTATAGCAGAATTGGCCATTTGACCTCTATCTTTTTCTTTTGCAGAGTAAAAGCTTGGAATTTTCAGATAAGTAAACATAGGCGTCATGAAAGCACAGAGCACATTGTGTGGCAATGTAGATAATTTCTGTTTAAGCTGCAGTGGTATCTTTGAATAAGTTTTATTTCTTTTTAATTTTTAAGAGTTTCATACTGGAAGTATCTATGTGCTTTTACAGTAAGGCCAAAATGAGCAAATAAACAAAAACAGACATATGAGACCAACAATATCATTTTGTTTTCCTAAAAATAAACCCGGAACTAACAAACGTAAATTTTTGAAGAATAAAAACAAGAGGTTGGGCAAAACATTGGCTCAGTAACAGTGGTGTGGCCCCAGTTCACCAAACTCCTTAAATTACCCAGAGGGAATTTAATGGAGCAAAATGTTTGCACATCTTAAAAATCTCCCATTTTCATATTTTTTCAAGAAAATGCAAAAAATTCTGGTGTTTTCTACTGCTAAACTAGTATAATTCAGTTCAGAATTTGAACACTGAAATAGTGTAAAAAGAGTAATTTGCCTGAAATAACTCCTTCCTTATCAGTACCTTGTAGCATGTAAGAATTTTAGAAGAGAAGTGAATTTTTTAAAGTTTTTAGATCTAAGAGTTAAAAATCTACAGCTTTGGGAAGATGGGTATGTTTAAGTGAGAAACTGGCAATAAGTCAGATGCATTGCTGATGAGGTAACTTATTTAGACTGAATATACATCAAGTTTTCTTAGGGTTTTTTTTTGGAAGCATGTAGCAATGCACAATTAATCCTGCTCAGAAATCCCTTCGGGACTATTCCAGATAGTTCTGTGCTTTAGAAGCTCTGTTGCTTTCCCTTCTCAAGATTACCTTGGAATTCCTTTTACTGCTCCTCCATTCAGCTCATACAGGTTTATAATGTATGCCCTAAACTCTTTGCTTCAGCCAGGGAAGTCATGGTTAATGCATTCAGCCAATTCTTACCTTGATTATATACAGCTTGGTGTATTGAATAGTGGTTTCTATTGTTCTTGGATAGCAGGATAAACTTTCTTTGGTCCTAAATCCATTCCCACAGCAGAACAGATTAACACTTTTGTTCTGATTAACTTTATCAACCTATTAGCTTGTAATTTAAATATGTTGTATATACCATAGATGTTCAAGGAAGGCATTAAAATATTAGCTAATAAAGCAGAGGACTTCACCAGTGTGCATTTATATTGCTCCCCAAGATGAAGAAAGGTTTTACTCTTCCTAGTGCTTGGCTCCCAGTGGAAGTTCTTGCTATTGTAGTTGTTTGCTACTCTAGTTTTCTCATATTTCTGGAAATCTGTCTATAGCTGTTAAAAGAATTGTAGTAAGACGACTAGGGACCGATTTAAAGAAAATGTTGGAGGGGGTGTTTTTTATGCCTTTTTTTTAGATACTTCGGAAAAAATAAGTGGTTTTGTGGGGTGGTTTTGTGAAGTTTTGCCTTTTTTGGTGTAAGCATGATGAATTTCAGATGTAGACAGTCATGAACTACATTTAACTTGTCACAGGAGCAGCAGATTTGCTCCTTGAACCATGCAGGTTTCTTAGTTTTTATTTATTTATTTACACATTTTCAAGCAGCTTGAATTAGGATAGTATACCCTCTTTAATATTCTCGTTTAGAGAGTCTCTTGCTTGACCTCATGACCAGGATGCTGAGACTCCACCTCAAGGCCTAACCCTTCCCTGCGTGATTAGAATCTGTGTTACAAGGAGGTTGTTCTCACTGCTTTGTTGTCAAGGATTCATAAAGACAAATAGTGAAGTCATAGAATCATAGAATCAGCTAGGTTGGAAAAGACCTCTAAGATCATCAAGCCAAACCAAGCCAAGCCAAGCCTAGGACTGCCAAGTCCACCATTAACCATGTCACTAAGGGCCTTATCTGTATGAGTTTTGAACACTTCCAAGGATGCTGATTCCACCACTTCCCTTGGCAGCCTGTTCCAATGCCTGAACACCCTTTCAGTGAAAAAATTTTTCCTAATACCCAATATAAACCTCCAGTGATGCAGCTTGAGGCCATTTCTTTTTGTCCTATTGCTTGTGACTTGGGAGAAGAGACCAACCCCTTCTCTCCATCCTCCTGACAGGCAGTTGAAGAAAGTGATAAGATCTCCCCTGAGCCTTCTGTTCTCCAGACTAAACAACCCCAGTTCCTCAGCTGTTCCTCATCAGAGTTGTGCTCCAGGTCCTTCACCAGCTCTGTTGCCCTTCTCTGGACCTGCTCCAGCACCTCAATGCCTTTCCTGTAGTGAGGGTCCCAGAACTGAGCACAGTATTTGAGGTGCAGCCTCACTAGTGCCCAATACAGTGAAATCACTTCCCTTGTCCTGCTGGCCACACTATTTCTGATACAGGCCAGGATGCTGTTGGCCTTCTTGGCTGCCTGGGCCCATTGCTGGCTCCTGTTCAGCTGACCATCAGTCAGCACCCCCAGATACTTTTATACCAAGTAGTTTTCCAGGCACTTTTCCCCAAGCCTGGAGCTTTGCAAAAAAATCATTGCATAAAAGCAATTCTTGCTCAGTTGATGTTGTTTTACTCTGTGGTGTATTTGAATTTGTACTCTGGGAAACAAAAGGACCTATCCTTTCGTATTATGCATGTTCTGTAGAATCTACTCTTTCTCTCATCCTATAAACTGGGTTAAGACACTGCATGTTTCGTCATTCCAGAGACTGCATTGTCAGTTACCTCTTAGCCTGGAAGAACTTGAAAAAGTTTTTGTTACATTGGATGCTGATGGAAATAGCTCACTTACGCTAAAGGAATTCACCACAGGATTCAGTGAGTTTCGAAAGCATGCTTCTTATATAGAGTTTTATTCATACTCTATACGCTCCATATCAATAATGAATCATTTTATCTTAACAGTTAACACTGCACATGGGGAGCCAGACTATTCCCTAGATATAGCAGATATATGCAGCAGATGAAGAAGTGGTCAAATTACTTGAATAAAGGGCTCCAGGGTCTTTCTCTCCTGTGTAAGATGGCAAGCCATGGCACAATATGAGACATACAGCATACCTCTCTGAATTAAACTTGTTTTAAGCCATGGAGTAGATTTATGACTAAATCTTGAAAAATTTCCAGATCTTGCATTTTGTTTCATATCGCATCGTAAGACCTGAGAGATGATTAGGATTAATATAAGTGCTGAAAATGTGTTGATACCGGTGTTACAGCTGTGGGAATGCTTTCTCTAACAAATTAATTCTTCAAGTGATGTTACTTTATTTCAAAACAAAACAGGATGAGGCAATTATAATTCCTGCATAAAGGGAGCTGTTAGGTTCTTTGCAACTGCCTACTTTGCAATGGCACTTTTACTGTCGTGTTCTCTGAGTTTGTGAAAGGGTTGTTTTCACCCCAGCTGTGAGGCACCAGAAAGCATGGCAATATTAGTTAGTGAGACTGTTAGGTTTTCACGCAGAATCAATTTTGTGCTTAAATTTTAGCTCTGTTGACTATAAGCACCAGTTTTAAGCATTTTCTCCAGAAAACTAAATCTCTTCTATGTGTGAATGGTAACATTAAATCTCTACTTAAATACTATGTCTAGACCCAGCAAACAGGACCTTCATTTTTGTTTGTAAATCATGAGTTATTTGAAAAGTTAATTCTTTCATGTCCCATGTCTCCCATTTTAGAGCTAGATCAAGTATCTTAATAACGAATGTATTTTAACCTGCAAATTGCCATTATTTAAAAATGAAACAATGTATTACTGCTTTACTTTTCATAAGTGAGTTGTATATATTTCTTAGTTAAATGAAGACTATTTTCGTAAGTTAGTCCCTGCAAAACCAAAATTTTCTGTTAAGCAAAGTTGTAAGTGGCTGCCATCTCCAGCAGATCCAGAGCCTGGTGATTCCTCCTGCCCAGCTGCTGGAGCCCAGTCCAGAGACCCAGATGGATGTGGCCACTGCTTTCCTGTTTGCCGGTTCAACAGGTAGTGAAGTTAAACATGTATCCCAGTGACACCCACATATGCACACACACACATTAGGCTACACAAAATGCCACACACAAGGTACTGCCTTCAATAGTACTTGCCTTCAACACCTATGTATAGGATTCTCATGAAACATACGGCTAGACAGTGTAAAGCATGCTTCATTTTAAGCTGCACAGGATTGATATGCATTGACTAGGGATCCAGACTAGATAGTCATGCATTCTGCTAGGTGATGATGTTGGTGTTCCTAGTAGAAACAGAAGCTGTACTAGATAAAGGCTGCTTTAGAAAACTAAGGAATGGAGAAAGCAGAGTAGTGTCTGGATAAAACTTGTACTGAACCAATTAGTATGGAAGAATTCCATTCATTCCTACAAAAGCTCCACTTGTTTGTTAATTTACTTGAACTCTTCAGACCACTTGACTTCAGTAATGTCTATTCTTGCTTAGCCTCATGTTTAATTGAAACTGAATCAACTCATTTGTTAATCCATACTTATTTCTTATAATTAATTTTTCTATAGTATTCTCAACATTTACTAGAGCAAATACAAGGTAATATTGCAGCTAGTGAAAACTTGCTGAGGCTTTCATGGAAGTCTCTTATGGCTATGGTATAGTGTCTCAGACATAACCACAGCTACACATGCAGATGCTTCGAGATGTACCTGATTTGAACTTATTCATGGTCACAGATGCTTCAGGCTGTCCTGCTCCCATGTGGACTCATCCACAGGTCAGAGTCCCTTTGACTTAAGTTCACACTGGAGTTCCACTTTGTCCAGTACATCAGCACAGAAACAGCAGCAGGATGGAGCTCTGTTGGGCTTGGAGGAGGTGATCCTTGAATATTAACCAGCATTCTTGGGCCCCTCTTTCCTCTAGGGCCTTATCCCAAGGGACTCTTTCAAGCAGACACTTGAAGAGGACGAAGTCTGCTCTCCTGAAGTCCAGGGTTATGAGCTTGCTTTTCATGCTCTTCCCTGCCCTCCAGATTCTGAACTCCACCATCTCATAGTCACTGCAGCCAAGATTTTCATATCCTTAGCAAGACCCTCCTTGTTGGTGGGTATGGGGTCCACCAGAGCACCTTATCTCAGGGGAAAATTATCATCAGTGCACTCCAAGGACCTCCTGGTTTGCTTATGTCCTGCTGCATTGTCCATCCAATAAATATCAGGTGTTTGAAGTCCTCCATGGGGAACAGAACCTGCAAGCATGAGGCTGTTCCTATCAGAATGTTGAAGGTTCATCCACTTGTTCTTCCTGATCAGGTGGCCTGTAATAGACTCTCACTATATGTTCCTCTTTCTCTGTCCTCTCTTTAATCCTAACACATAATCATAGAATCATACAATAGTTAGGGTTGGAAAGGACCTTAAGATCATCTAGTTCCAAACCCCTGCCATGGGCAGGGACACCTCACACTAAACCATGTCACCCAAGGCTCTGTCCACCCTGGCCTTGAACACTGCCAGGGATGGAGCATTCACAGCTTCCCTGGACAACCCATTCCAGTGCCTCACCACCCTTACAGTAAAGAATTTCCTCCTTATATCCAATCTAAGCTTCCCCTGTTTAAGTTTTAACCTGTTACCCCTTGTCCTGTCACTACAGTTCCTAATGAAAAGTCCCTCTCCAGCATCCCTATAGGCCCCTTCAGATACTGGAAGGCTGCTATGAGGTCTCCATGCAGCCTTCTCTTCTCCAGGCTGAACAGCCCCAACTTTCTCAGCCTGTCTTCATACAGGAGGTGCTCCAGTCCCCTGATCATCCTCGTGGCCCTCCTCTGGACTTGTTCCAACAGTTCCATGTCCTTCTTATGCTGAGGACACCAGAACTGTACACAATACTCCAGGTGAGGTCTCACAAGAGCAGAGTAGAGGGGCAGGATCACCTCCTTCGACCTGCTGGTCATGCTCCTTTTGATGCAGCCCAGGACACGGTTTGATTTCTGGGCTGTGAGCACACAATGAAGTCGGCTCATGTTATGTTTCTCATCGACCAACACCCCCAGGTCCTTCTCTGCAGGGCTGCTGTGAATCTCTTCTCTGCCCAACCTGTAGCTGTGCCTGGGATTGCTCCGACCCAGGTGTAGGGCCTTGCACTTGGCATGGTTAAACTTCATGAGGTTGGCATCAGCCCACCTCACAAGTGTGTCAAGGTCCCTTTGGATGGCATTCCTTCCCTCCAGGGTATCAACCGAACCACACAGCTTGGTGTCATCGGCAAACTTGCTGAGGGCGCACTCAATCCCACTGTGCATGTCACCAACAAAGATGTCGAACAGAGCCAGTCCCAACACCGATCCCTGAGGGACACCACTCATTACTGGTCTCCAGCCGGACATTGAGCCATTGACCACAACTCTTTGTGTGCAGCCATCCAGCCAGTTCTTTATCCACCGAGTGGTCCATCCATCAAATTGATGTCTCTCCAATTTAGAGACAAGGATGTCGTGTGGGACAGTGTTGAACGCTTTGCACAAGTCCAGGTAGATGACATCAACTGCTCTACCCCTGTCCATCAGTTCTGTAGCCCCATCATAGAAGGCCACCAAATTGGTCAGGCAGGATTTCCCCTTAGTGAAGCCATGCTGGCTGTCACCAAGCACCTTGTTGTTTTCCATGTGCCTTAGCATGCCTTCCAGGAGAATTTGCTCCAGTATTTTGCCAGGCACAGAGGTGAGACTGACTGGTCTGTAATTCCCCGGGTCATCCATTTCCCCCTTCTTGAAAATGGGGGTTATATTTCCCTTTTTCCAGTCGTCGGGAACTTCACCTGACTGCCATGATTTTTCCAATATGACGGACAGTGGCTTAGCAGTTTCATTCGCCAGCTCCTTCAGGACCCACGGATGGGTTTCATCAGGTCCCACGGACTTGTGCACGTTCAGGTTCTTAAGATGGTCTAGAACCAGATCCTCTCCTACAGTGGGCCCCAGATCTTCATTCTCACAGTCCCTGCATCTGCCTTCCAAGACTTGGGTGGTTTGGTCAGAGCATTTGCCAGTGAAGACCGATGCAAAAAAGTCATTGAGAACCTCAGCCTTCTCCAAATCCAGGGTAGCCATTCTCCTGAGAGCTTCCGGAGAGGGCCCACGTTGTCCCTAGTCTGTCTTTTATTTGCAGTGTGCCTATAGAATCCCTTCCTGTTATCTATAAGTTTTCCATCAGCTCCTCTTCTATCCCCTCACAGAGCTCCACGCATTCCAGCTGCTCTCTCGCACAAAGAACAACTCTCCTTTCTTGTCTTCTTTTCTTGTCCTTCTTGAAGAGCCTGTATCCTTCCATTGCAACATTACATTCATCCTACAGTATCTCCATGATCGAGTCTTTTTGCTATTAAGAGAAATATCCAAAATAGATGGAAGAAACTGCCCTAGAATTAAAATGCATGTGAGTCAAATGGAGGGAAAGAAATGTTAATAAAATGAAGCTTTCTATATGAAGTTTATACAGGACTTTGAGATGTGCCTTTGGTCATGCAGTAGAAGGAATATTAAAATAGAAGGTACATTTTATCAGTACCAGAGCTGTGATTATTTTAGATTCCTCACTTCTACTTAAGCGTACCAATAAGGCCATAACCTTTATAAAGTGCTTGTTGCTGCTTGTTGTCTTTTGTTTATGAAGGACTGTAATTTTTCAGTATGTTTGTGGATGTTGTGTGAGTTATTGAAGGCTAGACATTAAACTGGGGAGAAAGGCACAGAACTCAGAAATACTCTTGCCATGCTTCATCCTTTTGTTGTTTCATTATAATCCCCTTTTTTTGTAAACAAGTGTAGGTTTTTCTGTCACAAATTGTATTTATTGTAAAATGTGATCTTTAGTATTTTGCTCTTAAATGACATTGTTTCTTATTGTAAGCTCTGAAAATGCTAATGTGTATGATTTCTAATTCTTAAGCCAGTTTCTTATGGAGCAGATTACTTTGAATAAGGAGATGATGCAGCAGTCAGAAGGTGAAACAGTCTGCCAACTTAAGGGCAAAGAGAGCATGAGTGATGATAAGGATGAAGAATTTCAGTTCTCAGATCTGATGGATTGACTTGGAGCTAAGAAGGTTTGTGATGAGTGAGTCTTCCCAGCAACAGTAATAGATTGTATGACCTTTTATGCTTCAGCTCTGGATTTGATTTTAATAGAATCTAAGGTAAATGATGAGAACAAAGGCTGCTTGGTAACACAGTGATTCCTTAAAAATTAATTTTTGTGGCTGTCAAAAATTATAAAATGACTTTCAACCAAAATTTCCAAGAGCAAAGCTATCATACTGCATGCATACAAAACGCGTGTTTGTGGCATTTAAGAGCTACACTATTAATCCACTGATGTACCATGGGGTTTGAACGTAGATAATTACTAGCATGTAATCCACAGATGCCACTGATTTTCAATCAACCAATGCATGATGACTGCTTTTTTTGGTGAAGGCTGTGTTTGAAGTGTGCCACTTAGCCATAAGAAAGAATGTTTTTTCACCTTTTTCTGCTTTTTCTCCCCTTGATACATAATTGCTTGCTGTGATCGCTATGATAACACTACCTCTTCCAGGACCAGGATGACTCATTCTGAAACACAGAACACTAAAAATAGCTCTAAGAGCTTCTTGTGTGTTGGCCTGACGTTCACTAGTCAATCACAATGAATGTCTAGAGCAAAAAAAGCATGGTGCAAAAGTGGGAGAGAATCTGGACGGATAGTAAGAATGTTTAAAAAAACACATCAGTGATCCTTACCATGAGATAAAGGGCTCATCAGTGCTTCTTTTCATCCAACTGCTTGAAAACAGGAAAGAATTGATGGGCAGTCATCCTGAAAAGCTTTCATTATGATAAGACTTTTGATGCATTTTTTTGAATAAATGTTATTTCCACCATTTCCCACCCACCTCATTCTTTTAAAGTCTGTTACTGCAAAGTAACCCTGTTTTTAATAGGCTTTGCGTTCTGACTAGTGATGCCCTAAAGCCTCCATCCCCCTAGGATGACGTGAACATTCATTGCAGCCTGAGAAATGTTCTCTCTTAATGAATCCTTTATGATCTCTTTTTTTCAGTGAGAACGATGTGAAACAACTTTGGTTGCAGCTGAGAAAAGGTGAATCTCATTTACTTCCTAGTTTTGAAGAGTTCCTGGTCAGAATTTTTTCCCAGCTCCAAGAAGCAGATAATGAAAAGAACAAGTTGGAATGTGCTCTAAAAAAGGTAGAACTTCTCTTTGTTGGACTCTTCGTGTAGTTTTGAGACTATCTTACCTGCTATTTGAACCTTTGAAATAAACAAGGTATTATTTGAGGACTACAGAGAACGTAGAACTATAGAGAGCTATTTAAGGACAAAGAACTGAGGACTGTAATCACAAGAATCCCCATAATGTGAAATTTTAGTAGTCATCAAGACTACCAGTAGAATTATTCATAAGGCAGAACTGGCTGAAATTACCTTTTCTCTTCCAGTTAACAGATTTTGTTGACTGAAATAATTTTGCAGATGTCTATTATTGCATTGCATTGCAGTTTTTAGACAGTATTAGCAATACACTTCCAGTTAATAAGTTTGGTTTCAGAGGACAGTCAGATTTACCAGCAAATCTGGTAAATTGTCTGTGTGCTTTGCAAACATTGTGTGCAGAAAAGCTATAAATCTGGATTTACTCGCCAGAGAAATGAGAGGTTTAAGATGTTAAAACAGCAATAAAGCACTGATACCAATGAAAATGTAGGTAAATAAATATATATAAAACAAACATGAAATACACTAAACAATATATATTGGTTTTATATATAAAACCATCTGTAATGCATCTATATATAAACAAACATATAAAACACATGTAAAAACAAATATATAAGAACTAAAAAGTAATAGATCATCCTTAAATGTGTAGCTGTCTAGAAGAGCAAAAATGCAATACTAAGTCTAAATAGAATACAAAATGATGCTTAAAGTCCCCTGTATTATTATTATAAAGTGTCATTTCTGTATTTCATATTCTTACATACTGAGTAATAAAGGCAAATACATTGTAGAATATTTACATCATTTGTTCAGCACTCTGCTGGCTATTCTGAGAATGTGACAAGATTTCAGAAGAAACAAAACACCTACAAATATATGGTCGTTAAAGACAATTGGTTTTTATATTGATAGTTTTTTCATCTAAGTCAACAAGTGTGATTTTGGCCTTCAGACAGCTAGTCAATTGGAAAAGTATGAGGTAGTCGAGCTGTCTGTTTTAGACTAGAGATTATTTACAACCATGTGTGGTGAAGGGTTTGTTTTGTGGTTTGGGTTTGTTGGGTTTTTTTGGTCAGGTCTTGTCAGTGTGTTTTGAGAACTGAATGAATAAATGCGTCTGTTTAATAGCTGTGATTGGCACAGAGGTGCACTGAGTATACCATCAGCATTACCTGACTTTTCTGTCTGACCGGAAATTGTGACCTTCAAATGCATTGGAGTTTTATGCCTTTGTAGTAAAAAAAGGTTTTAGCTAATTTCTTCTTTCTGTTGCTCCTAATAACACCTCTAATCTCGGCACATAGGTCATTGTGTTATTTGTAATTCACAGCTGGAAGGAGTCAGAACTGTCAGAGACTGACAGTGGTTTTGGTAACTGTGGGGATGAATAGCCTCATTTATTTTCAAGTATGTCCAAACAGCAGCAAAGTTCAAGACCATATATAGGGAAAAAAAAGTATTTTTCATACTCCCATGCTTTTTCTACCTACTGAGATGCATGTGTCCACATAGACTGGCCAGGATTTACTGTGGTGTCACAGAAGATGCTGGTTATTGAGGTCTTATCATGTCTCCCGGGTTCTTTCTTGCTTACAGTAATACCTTTTGGAAGCTGAGAATGAATGTGCTCTTTCATCTTTCCTTCCTGTCTCACCTCTGTGGGTCTATATTGTCTATATTAGGCAATAATGCAGTCTACTGTCAGACTTTTGTCTCCTTTCCTGGATGTAGGCTATGATTTTGTCTTAAGTCATTCTGTTACCATAAAAGTCAGTCAGAGAAACTCTGTAAGACTCAATTTGGAGTTTTAGGAAGCAGCATTCTTTATTGCGGTGCTAGGCACACACGCAAATTGTTTCGCAAAGGAGAGCACACCCAATACTTGCAGAGAGCGGATGTATATTTAGCATATTCATGCATATTCATAGCTTTCCAGGAAATAATTATAATGTTTGCATCCTAATTACACATACGCTTTCTTGCTGAGTGGGGGTCTCTGGTGGTCACCGGTAGCCTTCCTCACTTTGTTTAATGAATGACCTCAATGCTTGCGCATACTTGCAAGGTCCTAGTGCTGAGTTAGCAGTTGGATGTCCTTGCTTCTGTTCTGTGCCAGTCTCACTCCACGCTGGGTGCCACTCTGCTATCTTGAAGGCCAGCATCCTTAAACTTACTGTTTCCTAAGTTGTTATCAGTCCCACGCTGTTCCTTCTCCTGTCACCTGAACATTCCTTTCTCTCTACGTACTAGTAAGTTAGAACAGTTTGGTTTATTCTGCTATGTTAAAGGCACACACACTATCGTTAGTTTAAGATTTAAGGTTACAATTCCTTTTTTTGTGGATGCCCTGAGAAGCTTCATCTGCATGTGCACAACTTTATGCCTTGCCTGTCTATGCTGTTAACCTCTGCCATTCTTCTATATGTGTTTTTGGTCTTTTCTTCTGGAGCTTTCACGCATGCATATTTTCATTCATGAACTTGAATCCTGTGGTCTAAGCAACCAGGATTATTTTTTCCTGTCTGGTTCAATAGAAATGCTGTATTTGTAGGTCCAGGCAGTAGTAAGGCTGAATGTATATCCTCAATACACAGATACACTACATACGGGGAACTGTGCAGATTTAATACTCATTAGAAAGGAGTACCTCTACTGGCACCGACCTAAACACAAGTAGCATTTGCACAAACATGAAGGCTGACAGCCTGATCCTGTTTCTCCCATCCAGTTTATAAGTAATGAATATTATTAGTGAAAACATATGCACATGCAGCCCTCCTCCACACTTACTTTATTCAGAAATAAATCTGCATTGACAGACCTTTTGAATATTAGTGTGGCCTTTAATCTATTTGTCTCTGCCTGCCACTTGGGCCTCTTACTCATTCTTTGACTAAGACCTTGGGTCTTTCCAGGTGTGGGTCTCCTTCTTCTCACTGGCTGTTTCAGCTGGATTAAAGTTTGTTACCAGGATGTGTTTATTTGGTAACTCATTAACCATGGGCATGTTTATCCTTTTAAGTGATCTGTAATTCTGGTTTAGTAGAACAACAGCCCAAATAGTGCTGATGAGTTTTTGTGTAGAACTTAATACACCTACTTTAAGGAAAACAAAACAGACACATTCTTATCTCAGAACTGGTGTTTTTCTCACTCGTGTTTATCATCATAAAGGAATTGAGGATAAGATGTTGTGTATATTTGTAGATTTTAAGGCAAAATTAAAATACAGGGTTAAAACCTTCTTTTAGAAATGCTAATTTCCTTCTTTTTTTTTCTATTCATTTAAACAAAAGTGAGAGACTTGCACTACAGTAATGTATCAAACAAAACACTGTATGTATGTGTAGTCTGGTGCTGGAATCAGGAATAACTAAAGCTGTGCACTGAAATTGTGGAATACATTCATCTATCCATCCAGCTCCGTACATTCATCCGTCTTGCTTTTGGTATCTACACAGTGGATATAATTTTTGTTTGCCGTTAGCTCTGTCCGCTTTTGTGCTTTGCATTTGAAAGACAAATGTAGTAAGAAGGGGAACTTTGTTTCAAACAACAGAGTTCTAAATAGAGAAGATAGCTAAACATAAGGGTAAACAGTATAGGAAGGATGAACTGGCTTCTCATTGGGTTTAGCATGAGACAGTGTCAGAGTCCACCTTTGGTGGAAGAGTAGAATCAGCATCTCAGAAGATTAGTGTACAAAGTGTGTAAATCACTGTATTTTTTCAAAGGGAAAGAAGTACCATTACAACCAACTGCATGAACAGCAGTTGTAAAACCCCAACAGAAATACATTACAACCAACTGCATGAACAGCAGTTGTAAAACCCCAACGGTTCACGTCACAGTTGCATGTATGGGCAGAAATCAAACCCTTGTGAGAGTGTTGATTCTGAACTCATCATGTGAATTTAGTGTGCTCATGTTACATTTTGTTTTGGTTAATGTGCTTGACAACAGCACCATCTCCCTTTTATCTCCATCTCTGTTTATTCCACAGCTTTACTGGAAAGGGAAAGATCATATTATTGAATATTGACAAAATCATACAATTATGTAAGTAAAAGTGTATGGTACAGGGAATAGAGATTTATTCAAAACATTTACATTTTTTTCACATAACAATTATATGCCCTTATAGCTTTAATTATTTTCCCTGAGTGTATGTGGGGAATATTTGCCAACTAATGTACCAGATTATTTTTTTCTGATGCTTGGTAGTTACTTTTAATTGTGTTACACTTTTGGTTAAAGCAGGATATTATTTTATATTTCTGTCTAATTTGAACAGAATTAAGAATGTAAACCGTGAATGAAATGCTAGGGGAGCATCCAGCCTGCAGAAATGACAAGTGCTTATGTGCCAGACTAGCTGACAATAGAGCAAGAAGAGATAAATCAAGTGATGGTAATTTCTGAAACCTTCACAGATATTTGCAAAACAAACATAGGTCAGATTGTTTTGTCATTGCTATGGAGCTTCCAGAACACCTGATAATGAATTCTCTTTTCTTACAAAATCTCTTTTAAATATCATCTACTGCTTTCACAGTCTGCTCTTTGGGTTTTTCTGTCTTGTTTTTAATCCTAACAGAACGAAAGTTTTCCTTTTATATGATAAAATGAAAAAAAAACAAAAAACTTCAGGTATTTTCCCCAGGTAGTAGGGTAATCTTATGAAAATGTAGCAGAATTCCACTGTCTTCAATGCACTGGGAACTGGCTTAATCCCCAGACAGCTGGAGAGATCAACAATGATTTGGGTCTTGTAGTGTACATCTTTGCTCAAAGCTCTACCAAATACGCATTTACTTTTGGACGGTACAGCACTATGAACTTGAAATACTCCCTCCTGAACAACCAGCTCCTGATAAATCTGTGATAACAGTTTTATAGCACTGCATGGTTCTCTTGCATGGTAGCTGCTTGTCAAGTTCCCATATTAAAAGCCTGATGTGTTTTACTTGTTAAAATGCATGGCCTGTGTGGGGAAGCAGAGTATTTCTGCATGTGTGAACTTGCTATAAAGTGTCTTGAAGGCCAGTGTATGAACGGCTAACGATAGGGAAAGGGGGTGGCACTGGAATTTAAAGGGCTGAAATGGAATGCTGTGAAACCAACTTCCTTTGTAGAATATTGTCATGGTTTAAGACCAGGCAGTAACTCAGGACAAATATGAATAAAAATACATGTAATATGTCTGGGTTTTTTTCCTGGCAGCAGTGGTTGGGAGTGCCAGTCCTGGAAAGTAGGAGAGAAGTAAGACAGGAAGGGAAGGAAGAGGAAAAAGAAGTTTGTGAACCATTTCCTAGCTCTGTGTAGTTTTTAGATCCTTCTCTGAGGAATGAATCCAGGTGCTGCTGAAGCTGAGGGGAATTCTAGGTTTGTATGAGTAAGATGGGAGACAAATCTTGAGTAAGATGGGAAACAAATCTCTAGTTTACAAGCTTATGCGGTTTTAGCTGATGAGAATATAGAATTGAACTAAAAGGCCATTATATAATTGAAATCAACTGCCAGATGTTAATTGCCTTTGTTCAGTACTGCTATGAATCAGAAGTTGGTTTATGCAGGGTGTTTACCACATTGCAACACCAGAGTAAAATAATTTATACTTTCAAGATACCTGTGAGGGCACACAAATCAAGTATTTTTAGCCTAACTGCAAAAATTATTACAGTTAATTGCTATATTTTAATATTTTCCTTTTTTTTTTATTTAAAGCTATGTTTAAAACTTATTTATCAACCAGTAGTTCTGTAAAACCCTTTCCCTGTGGTTCTCTAACATATATGTTCTAAATTTGATATAAAACCCACGGAAGTTATTCAAAGCCTTACACTCAGTTTTAAGCCTCGTGTAATCAAGTAGCACAGGCAGCAGTATCAGGAAGTTTTATCTTATGTTTATTGTTTACACTTGCCTATCTTTGGACAATAAAATGTCTCTCTTATTTTTATTAGTCCTATTTTAAATCTAATTTTATGTTTTCCTTTTCTGTTCATTGCATTATAATTAATAGTATTACTGTGTTTCCTTTTTTATTTGTGTTTTCTTTTATTTATAATTTCCTCTCTCCCTTACAAATTTTCCATGAATCCCAACAAGGCTGGTTTTGAAGAGTAGCATCTTTGTAGTACCATAAAAATTAAACTATCCCATTTTATTTTTATGGAAAGGAAGCTGTGTTGGACAAATGGAATTCACTGCTTCTAACAACGTGATGAGTGAGATAATTTTATTCAGATGATTGATAGCATTTGAAACCTTTGTTATTCAAAGAGCTGATTAGCAGCCAGCATCAATCTTAACACACAATATATGATTTTTGTTTTCGGGTGTAGCAGCCTAACCTGCTTATTGGAATTCTTAACTTAGTGTAGTTAGGGACAGTGTTTTGTACATATATTTTCCTAATTCCTAATAATAATCTCTGAGATTGACTTTCATCTTTCTTCAGATCTGTTTTTATAATAATATAACCACACTCATTTTCTGGTATTAGTCATCATTCACCTAGATATTAATGCATGTTAGGTTAGCTTCCACCTGACTAATGTTTGCCTTATCCAGAGCACTGACACTTTCACCTCCTCCTCTTGCATGGAAATATACTTTGATAGTTAAATCTATTCTTGCAGATGGTAATGGTAGCTTAGTTTAATTACAATTTATGTGCTTGATTATATAAGAGAACCTCTTGGGAATAACAGAAATACTTTTTTCCAAACTTTATAATGCATTCTTTCCCTTCCCTTCTCTTCCCGTTTCAATGTAATTATTCCTGTTTTGGAAATTATGATAAAAAATGTGAAAGGGGACTTCCAGGAAAGATGAGTTCAGTGTTGTTTCTGCTGTCCTAGCTAGCAGTCTCACTTGCGAGGGTCTTATGCTTGGCATATCCACAGTACTGATCTGAATACATACTAACTGGGGTTCTGTAGACCAAGATTCCTTTGGCTAGGAATTCCTTCGGCTAGGCCTTTTTGCTGGCTACCATGTTCTTAAATCAGCTTGCTCTAAATGGCTTAGATAAAGCACAAGCTCTTTTCAGTAGTGTTCTTTAAGGGATGTGTGGTGGCATGTCCCAGAAGGAAGCACTGGGGACAGAGGATGTCTAGCATAACATCTAGGGCACAGAATCTTGTATAAGGGAAAGAAAATAGGTATGGACAAGGTAAAATGCAGAAGAGTCACTGGGCTTCTCACATAAATGATGGGTTCTGTGCTGATGATGGGTTCTGTGTTGATGACAACCACTGAAGTGCGTGATTCTGAGCAAGAGATCCGTGAGAACATGGATCAGAAGCACTCATAAAATGCAAATCAAGTGGTAGGATTGTTAGGAAAGGCATAAAGAACAAAATAATCTCCAGCCTTATAACACTATATAAATGTTTCATCCTTCATGCACACCTGAAATAAATATGAAACGAAAAAAGACAAAATATGGAAGGGATGCTGAGCTAAGAACAAGGGAATGCATGGAGAGTGCTTTGTGTGTGTCTTTAAGGGGCAGCAAAGCTGTCCTCAGGAACAGTTTGCTTGTATTGTATAATCCCAGTTCTTTACTCAGTTTTAAACTTGTTTTTGTTCCATTTTAGGGAATGGCTTCTCTCACAAGAGTAAGCACCAGAATTTGCAGGAAGTATTTGTAACATCAGTACCTATGATTTCAGGAGCTGATGATGGACACCATTGCAGTTACATTTCCAGGCCAGTCCCTGTGTAAGTTTTCACATGACCATAGTATTCTGTAAGTGAGATTTCTGCCCATAATTTGTTGCTCTGAAGCTTTTTGAAAGTTTGTCATTGTGTGATCCGTTTTTCCTTCTCCTGAAACCACTCATCTGGATAAGAAAGTCTTGTCCTGTCATATTTGAATATCTGTATTTTACTTGGAATACATCACTTCATTCTGTCAGGGAATGGAAGTGATACCCAGAACTGAAGTGATCTAGCAGTGTAAACCAACATTGTTCAGCAGTAATTTGATGCCCAGCTAGTCAGTTTCCCATATGAATCGTGAGCCTGCTGAGGCTACAGTTCTGCAAATATGTTAAGCTGCTGTTGAGATAAGTACTCCCAATCTACTCATTCCTGACCTTTCACAATCCCAGCTAGAAAGTATTTTCTGCTTTTGTTTTTAACCTGGGCCTTAAGGTTGCATTTAAAAACAAGACTAGAACAATAGCAGTGTTGTGTACGTGATCAGACTAGCAGAGCTGGGTAAGGACAGATTTTGGGTTGGGTGAGCTCTACTTGTTGGGATGGGCAAAATGAAAGTGCTAATAGAATCCTCCATTCTGTCTCAGATCTGGAAGACTGAACAGGAATCATTATAATGCTCCTAGTACATTTTACATCCCTTAAAAGGCATACTGAAAGAAACCCAACAAACAGAAAAACTTCCGTATCTTCAGGTCAGCAATGCCTTCCCTAGTACAAAGTGGACTAATTTTAGCCTACGTAACTTTTGCTAAGTTAGCCAAGGAGAATCAGGTATCACTTCTTTACATACCAGAAACCATGTCACCTGCTGTTATCTGTTTCACAGGGAAGGTGGATCTGTCCTTTTTATGTACTTTGAAAGGTGAATAAAAAAGCTGTAAGTCACAGTTCTTGGCAGATTTAGCGGAGGTAGCAGAAAGGTTACTGCTTGTTGATATTACTGGGAATGGGAAGGTTTATCAGCTACCAGATTTAGATCAAACAGTTTTTAGGCAGAACTCTGAATTGCTCGGTGTAGGCCTTGTCATTGTGGGAAACTGTCTAAAATAGCAGTTGTGAATATCAACTAAATAAATACTGCTAATCTGCTCTTTAACCTTTTCTTTTTTTTTTTTTTTGTGGTTTGTCCTGTCGCATTTTTTAACTAAATGAAATTCAGTTATAGAATGCAATGGTTTTGGGTTTGTGTAACATAATTATGTCTGTACGTAGCGCAGTGGAAGAGCACCATATGTATTTTATTCAGATGTTGGCTTTGATAGAAATAGTTTCCCCATTCAGCTAACCTCTAAGACTTGAATTGAAAGCCTCAAAATCAAGATGCATCAGTTAGTTATAATACTTTCTTCTCTTTTCCATCCCAGTTGGAGCAGCAATGTACAGAACTTCTCAGTAGCAAAGAAGAAATCAGAGAACACCAAGCTGAAGCAGACTAACCAGGAGCTGCAGAGAGACCTAGAGAGAAAGTCTCACAAACTAAGCCAGGCTCAAAAACAGTGACAGATGCTTCAGGAGGAGGCATCAAGACTACACGAGAAGAAGGAAATGTAAGTTTCCAGCTGCAGAGGTTCAACTCCCTTTGCTTAGCATGCCAGTGAGCCTCTTTCTCTGCATATTTAGTGCTGTGATTTAAGCTTGTGTCATAAGTAGAAACTCACATCAAAGCCAAGTGCAGTTCTAGTAATTTTTCCCCAAGTAATTCAGCATATTTTCTGTAGCACATCTGGCTTCTACAGAATCTTTTGCTACTTCTTCAAAATGTCATTGTTCTCTATCCTCCACACTCTTTGCTGAGGGTGTTTGGAATTAAAAATCAGTTTAATTGGTTAAAAGGTATGTCTTAGTTTTGAAAATCTAGTGGAATTCCTTACAGAAATTACAGTTGTGGTGCATGATGCTCCATTCTACTCAAAGCTAAGACTATCTGGAGCTTGCTGTTCAGGATGTACTCTGGGTATGAGACAGCTAGGATGTGCTTCTTTTCTTCATCAAATTCATAATTCCTGACCAAGGAGGCTGGCCAGCAAGGTAAAACATACCTATGTGGCTACACACAATTCACTTAACGGTGATCCAGAATCATCATTTTGGGATTTCTATTTCAAATGGTTTGGATTTCAGATTCTGACTCGAAAAATATTTTTCAAGAAGAAATGCTTACAGTTCGTATTTTGAGGGATAGAAATGGCCTTTAAGTGACAGATCAACCTACCTGCCATGCTCCAGCCTTCTGCACAAAGCAAAAGTTACATTACCCTGAAGCTGTACTTGGCAGAAATGTCCACTGAAGATTATTTAACAGGAGACAGTTTAAAACAAAATGCTCAGGGATCTGTAAAACCCTCTTGTTGCCAATGGGGCATGCAGAGGTGCCAGACTGTGGGGCAGATCTTGCCAGATTATGCATCTCAGTAATGAACTGCATAACTCAGAGCTATGGCTATTTGGCATATTTCAGGATAAAGCAGAATATTAGGTCAAATGTCACATGCTTTTTCTGTTAAGCTTTGTGCCAAACTCTACTTAGTTATTTACTAATTTGATTTTTCTTAAGGACACAAGTAATGAACTTTGTTGATAAATGATTGTAAGAGAATCACGACTATGTTTAGAACACTATTTTTAGGTGTGCATGTTTGATGCGTGATTTGGAAGTAGACAGTAGAATTACACCTCTTTAAGGTTGAGGCCTCTCTTTTCAGATCCAGAGTGAAGCCTGTGGAATGATCTGTTTTTAAAGCCACAGAAGAAACCTGCCCAGTAGTCAGACTGCTGAATAATAATACCGTGTTTACAAAGCACTTTGGATTCAGTAGTGGTTTATGAAATTAGTGCTCAGCCCTACTCTGCAGTGTGGCTTTAGAAAATCTATATCTATAAAATCTATGTATTGAAGCAGGTGTAGTTTTCAGACTGCACAGGAAGAACTTGAGGCTTCACTGAAAGGAAAAAAAAAAACATTTTAAGGCCAGACACAAAGTTGTGTTAAGTCAAAGTAAATGGTGTAAGTCCCGTGTAAAAATGTGAGATACTATGTTCGGTGTTTCAGGCTGCATAACTGTGAGACCTCACTTGGAGTATTGTGTGCAGTTCTGGTGTCCTCAACATAAAAAGGACATGGAACTGTTGGAACAAGTCCAGAAGAGGGCCCTGAGGACGATCAGGGGGCTGGAGCACCTCCCATACGAAGATAGGGTGAGAAAGTTGAGGCTGTTCAGCCTGGAGAAGAGAAGGCTGCGTGGAGACCTCATAGCAGCCTTCCAGTATCTGAAGGGGGCTTATAAGGATGCTGGGGAGGGACTCTTCCTTAGGGACTGTAGTGATAGAACAAGGGGTAACGGGTTAAAACTTAAACAGGGGAAGTTTAGATTGGTTATAAGGAAGAAGTTCTTTACTGTAAGGGTGATGAGGCACTGGAATGGGCTGCCCAAGGAAGTTGTGAATGCTCCTTTCCTGGCAGTGTTCAAGGCCAGTTTGGACAGAGCCTTGGGTGATATGGTTTAGTGTGAGGTGTCCCTGCCCATGGCAGGGGGGTTGGAACCAGATGATCTTAAGGTCCTTTCCAACCCTAACTGTTCTATGATTCTATTCTATGTATTCTATTCTATGTAAATATGTGAGCCTGACATCTGGTTCCAGCTGCAAGATCAATTCTAATTGTGTATAGAAGATTACATGGTGACTGTGAATGGTGTCTTCTCTGAATGATGCAGGTGCCAGTATCAGCATATATTGAACTCTCTGGATGAAGAAATTGTAAAGCTTTTTTTTTTTTTTTTTTTTTAAATTAAAGAGCCTCTACTCCTTCTTTTGCTAACTTTTTTTTTTTTTTAATTAGTAACTATTTGTGCAGGATTAGGTCCACAGGTTTGGAGAAGCGGAAGTCTCAAATGTGGATACTCCTACAGGGAAACATTTCAGCAGTGTTATTACCATGGTTAGAACCATTTTTACATTCATTCTCATTACAGGGAGGTACACTGAGTGACAGAAACCTTGCAGAGACAAAAGGCAGGACTTCTGAAGCAGCTGTATTTTTTAAGGTAATGCAGACCTTATTAATTAAGGTAACTCAAGAACTTACTGCACCATTCTAAAGGATGAAATTATGCTGGGATATGTACTGGGTGTAGATGCCCAGGTGTTGGCAGCAGAACGCTGCTAGGACAACCTCTGTGCCAGGGAGAAGAGGCTGGGGCTGCCCCAGGCCAGGTCCCCAGGCGGTCCCAGCTGGCTGCAGTGGACCCACCGCAGGGCACAGTTGAGCCGGGCAGCAGCAGTGGTGGTGCATCTGGGAAAGCGTGTTTAAGAAAGGGCAGAAAACGCTGTGTAGTAGTTGAGGGAGAATAAATCGTGAGGAACAATGCTGCAGACACCAAGGTCAATGAAGAATGAAGGGGAGGAGGTGTGTTAGGAAGAATGTCTTTACCTTACAAAACATGAAATGGTGTTGAAGGGTAATGCATTAGTCTCAGAATCAAAAGTTATTTAGTTTTCAGGTTTTTAATTAAATCATGACAAATTAAGCCATGAAGAAAGAGATGTAAATATATCGCGGATAAATGTTGAAGGTGCATAGAAGGGAAACTCAACCTACATAAGTGGTAACTACAGACAATGTGTGCATAGGCTTGTGTCTGAAGGACTGTTCAGGAAAAGTGAAGTTAAGCTGAATTTACGCATTTTAATAGATGACACAAGAAGATCTACAGAAAGGTAATAATTGTCTAAAAAAAAAGAAAAGTTTTTTTTGAAAGTTTGTTGAGGTTTGTTTGTCAAAAAGGGACATTTGTTGTATTTTGATGTTTTTTGAGTCAGCTTTGGTAGATGTTACACTATCAAAAAAATGAGAGCAAATATCTTTAAAATTATTTTTTAAAAGAATTTTTATTAGCAAATTGAAAATTTTTTTTTTTCCCAGCTCTAACTTTTATGTGCATGTTAGCAATGAATTTGCCATTTGCAGTAATAATCCTTAAAACAACATGCTGGGAGTTGCATTTCTTTGGAGTCTAAAGTTCTTGCACTGCTGTTGCTTCAAAGCTAGCTGTGCTTGTTTTCTAATTTTAGTATCATTGTTAAGTATTACTCACTTTTATATTCTTGAAGCACATATTTAAAAAGGTTAAAGTATAAGGAAAATAGGTATGCTTGGTCATAATTATATAGTTCTTTTAGAAGAAGCAAGCATCTCTTAAAAATTATGTTAGAATTATGCCATGGTTACATAATAACTTCTAAGTGGTACATTTTAATAAAAAGTGTAGGACACAGAACAGAGCTTCATCTTTTGAAATTATTTTATACAATGCATACTTTCTGCTTGCTGTATGGCTTATTTGGTATCACATTTTCAAAGTGTGGCATTATTGGACTTTAAGACGACAAAAGCCAGGTTGGTCACCAGGTCTAGGTGGGGCTAACCTGTGCTGCCTGACATTCATGCTCCTTGAAAGCACATCTCAGCTGGAGGGGAAATGGACATTCCTTCAGATCTTATTTCCTACATTGTTTTATTTTTTTTTCCCTGAAAACAGTTGAGAGAAAGCAGGGAGGGGAGAGAAGAAATCCCGAAATCCCTCCTGGCAGGCTGCTGAAAACATCTTGGTTTAGTTTCTAAAGAAATGTTGTGAGGGTAAAAAAGAAGCTAATTTCCAAAGGTCACTTAGAAATAGGAATTATATATCTTTTTTTCTATGAAATGTCAGTGCCTTAGCCCTTAGTTTGGGTTGTATTATTTTTGCCTGGTTTGGTTTGGGTTTTGTTTATTTTTTTTTTAAAGAAAACACAGCAGAATGCTCCTTTCTGATAAATCTCTGTCCATGTGGCACAGAAATATGTGCGTAAGTCCTGCATGGTCCTCCTAGCCTGCTGACTAGGCTTGCCAATTCAATTCAATTAGATTTGACTCATCTTGACTCCAATTCAATTCAACTCAATTCATGACATTACATTGCTTAGGGCAGTCTTTACGCTGTGCATCTAATCACTGCCACTTTGTGTGAATAGTGCTTCATCTCCTTCTGATGCAGAGGGTTGACCAATGTACAGGGGGTTAGAGGAATTCACTTGCTTAAACAGAAGTATTGTCTGTTGTAAATGCCTACTAAGCAGAACAAAGACACCTGGTTCTATTGATAAGGAAAAGCAGACACCTGGTTCTATTGATAAAGAAAAGCAGACACCTGGTTCTATTGATAAGAAAAAGCAGACACTTGGTTCTGTTGACAAGGAAAAGCAGACACCTGATTCTACTGATAAGCAGCTATTGATAAGGAAAAGCAGACACCTGATTCTACTGATAAGCAGCTATTGATAAGGAAAATCTACTGATAAGGGGGAGAAGCAGATGGTTTATGGCTGGGACACTGACCAAACCCTAAGGCCATAGGTGAAGACTAGAAGGTGAAAAGTTCAAGAAGAGGGAGACTCATTTACTTCATCTTGAAGACCCCTACCCACAGGAGGAAGACTCAGTTACTTCATCTTGAGAGCCCTGCCCATGACCAGAGGGGGCACTGCGCAGGTGCAAAGGACCTTCTAACTCATTATAATATGAAGTGGGGATAGGACATGAATATGTATAGGCGTGTTGTGCAGCCTTATGAATATATATAACTTTAGAGAATAAATGTAAAGGGAACCAGCACTAAGGTACGCATGAATTTGAGGAATTATCCCCGTGCGTCTCAGCGCTGAATAAAAAGCATACCTACTTTACAACTTTTAACAAGGTGTGGAGTCTATCTGCGTATCACTTCCATACACCAGATGTAGTCTGATGACTACATGAACAACTTTGTGTTTCCTAAATGATGGCTCTTGGGATCCTCACTTTTTGACTATGATATTTAAACACCAGAAGTGACCTTTGAGACAAAGAGGCACAAAAGCACAAAATGGAATATAAACCATGGGAGAAACTTTCTGGAAAATGATGTCATTTATACGTAGCCTCATGAATATGTATGTATGCCCAGTGACTATATTAGGACTGCTCATGTAGCAGTACGAAGACACACGTTAGGAGCAGCTATCCCTCCTGTCTCACAGTGCCGCAATAAAGAATACCTGTTTGTCAACTTAAACTTTGTTGGTGAGTTTGTTCCTGGAGTTTTCTCTGAATCATCTTGTCCCATGCAGTTTTGCATAGTGATCCCCTCTCCTGACCGCATGCCAGGGCTAGGAGGGATGATATTCAATTAGTAAGAGTTTTTAGGGCAGCTCTGCACATAATCCTCAACTGGAGCTGAAGAAAACTTAAAAAAAAAGATAACTCCCTGCTTGCTGTATTGTGAGTTACGAGTTCTGCAGTCTCTGCTTTTCATAGAATCATAGTATAGTTTCGGTCAGAAAGGACCTTAAGATTCAACCTCCCTGACATTGGCAGGGACACCTTCCATTATACCAGTTTGCTAAATACCTCATCCAACCTGTCCTTGAACACTTTCAGGGATGGGGCATCTACAACTTCTCTGGGCAACTTGTTCCAAAGACCTCGTTTGCATCTTAATTTCACTCTTGGGATCATGAATGAAACAGAGTCCGACACTGGGGTTTTCTCCAGTCAGACCCTGACATTTAAGCTGGCATCAGGGACAGGATCCCTTGCAGTGGAAAGTACCGTAATGTCGCATGAAGTGTAAGTTATTACCGGTGTGCCTCTCAGTGACTTAAGGGGTGGGTTCTGTTGAAACAAAACATGCCGCTTTTCTGAGACTACTGTCCCATTCAGAAATGAGTAGCATTGAAGCTGCCCCTCAGGGCAGAGATGTGTTATATGGTCTTTTAGAGAAACGTAAGGCTCGCCCCTCTCTGCCAGGGGCAGAATGGGCCAAGAAAAATTGGCATAATTTGCAAAGTTTAACAGACCGAATAGGCACCCTGCAAAAGGACACAAAACTGAGGCCGGGAAAGGTTAAATCAGTTGTCTGTGATGTACTGGGCTCCAGCTTGGCTGCTGCGGTAGAAGCTATAGAACAACAACAAACAGCAGAACCTCAGTTCACACAAACTTTACAAGAGCTGGATCCCTGCAGGACCAGGTAGTTAACTCAAAAGAACAGTTAGACAAAGAGAAAACTCAGGCTAACTACTTGCAATTAACCCTGAAAGAGCAGCTCCTTGCAGAGAAATGCACCTCTCCATGGTTGGAGAAAACAATTGAATACCCTCACGGTGATCTGGAAGAGGAAAGACTAAGGTTAGAAAAATTAAATGTCTGCTGCTTCTTTCTGCCCCTAGATGCAAATGGAATATACTTATGAAGGCGGGGAGGACGAATTCCCACAAATTACCACCAAAGAGGTTCTGTATACTGCTACGAAATTAGCTAAACTTCAAAAGGAATTCTGTCGTACTGCAAAAGAATCAGAAACTGACTGCATTTGGAGAGTATCGCTGTCTGGGGGAGATCACATTTTACTAAGTGAGAAGGAAGCTGAGGGGTATTGGGGGCTAGGAGCATTTTTAACCACCCATAAGCACCACGCACCCTGGTCCTTAACTCAAAGAGCAGCTTATTGGGCTGGAGGAGTTAACATTTTGGAAAGGGGAGATCCCTTCGCCATCACAGGCACAGTCGACTGGTTGATAGAAAATGTACAGAAAGCGATATGTCTGCGAATGATGTACGATCAGGGACTTAGACTTAAACAGGAGTCCCTGAGGATGATATTGGTCAATTCTGAACGTGTGACTCCCCTCATTCGGTGTCTTCCCAACTCCGTGAAAGCTGCAGGGATCCAATTGCAGAGAAAGACACAAGCAACATCCCAAAGTGAAAAGGCCGTTGCTGCCCTGGAAGGACTGCTGTCACCTGTCGAAAGACAGAAAAGAAAGTATGGACGTGGAAAGGGTTGCCCAGGAGTTGATTAATTATGGGAGAAAGTACAGTCCCATCAATATTTCCTGTAAAATTGATACTAAGGGACAGAGATGAACAGAGATAAAAAGCCCTCCTCAGGAAACGCTGGACACCCCCTGCTTGCCCAGGAGGTAGAAATATTCCTAATAAAAGGCAAGAGTTGTGGACTCTGGGGTGGTGAAAGGGTGTTTCTAAAGATTTAATGGATGGATTACTCACTGCTAAATTGGAAAAGGTGGTGTTAGAATGGCCCAAAAGAAACCCCATGGGACCTAAAGAAAAAGAAAAATGTGGAAGGCCCCAGTGCCTCCACCTTGATTGCAAGCGGAGGGTTGGAGAGTGGATATATTCAACAGTTCACTGAAAATAATTAAGGCAAATTGTTTTGTGGGGCCTGATCTGGTGACACATTTTTCACTTGCTTTGTACGACCTCATAGAGAAGTTGACTCACAATGCTATAGCCAATTGTCCCACAGGATTTCACAGGATTTCTCAGTTTTGTTAGATGGTTTCTCCCCTGGTTGGGAGTGAGTATATGCATTACAGATTGAGGTATCCAGCCTATCCCAGGTGATATTGCAAAACTCTATGGCCCTTGACTTGCTATTAGCTTCCCACGGAGACATCTGTACAAGCTGCTGCACATACATGGAACAGAGCAGCAAAATTTCTAAAGATTTGGGTGAGATTTGGGAACAAACAGATCTTGCACCAAGTCACTAGAGATGATACTGATGTGCGGATTGACTCCACAACTCGTTAAAGTTGTAAAGTAGGTATGCTTTTTATTCAGCCCTGAGACGCACAGAGATAATTCCTTGAAGTCATGCGTGCCTCAGTGTTGTTTCCCTCTACATTTATTCTCTAAAGTTATATATATTCATAAGGTTGCACAATATGCCTATACATATTCATGTCCTATCCCTGCTTCGTATTATAATGAGTTAGAAGGTCCTTTGCACCTGCGCAGTGCCCCCTCTGGTCATGGGCAGGGCTCTCAAGATGAAGTAACTGAGTCTTCCTCCTGTGGGTAGGGGTCTTCAAGATGAAGTAAATGAGTCTCCCTCTTCTTGAACTTTTCATCTTTTAGTCTTCACGTATGGCCTAAGGGTTTGGTCAGTGTCCCAGCCATAAACCATCTGCTTCTCCCCCTTCAGGTGTGTGCTTTTCCTTATCAATAGCTGCTTATCAGTAGAATCAGGTGTCTGCTTTTCCTCATCAATATCTGCTTATCAGTAGAATCAGGTGTCTGCTTTTCCTTGTCAATAGAACCAGGTGTCTGCTTTTCCTTATCAATGGTTAGTGCCTTTGTTCTGCTTAGTAGGCATGATAGGTACAGACAATACTTTTGTTTAAGCAAGTGAATTCCTCTAACCCCCTTGTACAACCCCCTGTACATTGGTTAACCCTGTACCTGGTAATACCTCATGGGTTTTTTAGAGTTGTGGTACACTTCCCTCTTGGCTACCAAACTGGACACAGTTAAAGAACTTGTTTGTAATAATTATAATAATAATTATTTGTGTTTGTACCCTAGCAGGCATGATTTGATGTTGGTGTTCACAATGGTGTTTCAGAATTAAATATGGGAAAATAACATGAGATGAGTGTTATAGGATATACATGTATCCTGTAAGCCTCAAAGGGGGGAACTGTAAGATGAAATGCTAAGTTGTAAATTCAAAATGCTTTGTTAATTGTGAGCTGTAAATTGGGACTGCTCTGTTGAGAGCAAGATTGGGTCAGTTCTTCAAGGTAATGAACAAATCAGAACAAACTGACATAAACCATGGACACAGTTGCTAAGTAATTCACAGAAGTCTTTTGTACATGCGCAAGCACAGATGTTAATCAGTAGACACAGTGTGGAAGACTATTGATGACCACCAGAAACCCTTCAAGATCACCACCCAGCAAGGAAGTGAATGTGTATTTAAAATGCAAATATTGTAATTCCAGGAAATCTAGTGAATATTTGTAAACAAATTGGTGGGGCCCTGAGTGGCTCAGTCACTTGGGAGGCTTTGATAAAGTATTGTAATGAATTATACAGTATTGCAGACTGGCTACCTGCAACACTAATGAATTGCTCAGCGGTGCTTAAGAACCTATTTATAACTTAAATAGCATTATTCAGTTTCAAGCTATCCTAGAAATCATTACCAGTGATATAGCCCGCGCCCTTGATCTGTTAGGAGATCAGGCCAGACAAATGGTATTTCAGTACTTCATGGTTCCTGATTACTTTGCTAGCCGTGGAAGGGGGAGTTCGTGGCAAATTAAATGATGCTAATTGTTGTCTGAAAATTGATAATGATAAAGTAGTAAAATGAATAACATCTGGAATTCAAAAACTGGCTCATGTAACTACTGCCTCTCCTAATATAACTAAGCAAATCAGATTAATATATCCACAGAATCAATTGGTTGTAAAAATAATTTAAACCACTGCTCTTTTCATTTCTTGTCCTCTTTCACATTATCTCTTTTCTAAAACCACCTGGATCCAGAACAATCTTTGAGACAGCAGGTGGTGTGTGAGACTGATCTGAAATTGGACTGTACTGACCATTGTCTCAAAGATTGGTATGAGAAGCTGAGATAGAATTCCACCAATCCATTGTCTCAGAGATGGCTGGGGGGAGTTGAGATAAGACTCTTCAGTCCATTATCTCAAGGACTGGTGTGAGGAATTGCTACTCATTATCCCAAGAATTGCTGCAGACATGTGCAGTTGAAGAGCTGGCTGCAAGATCAGGGAGTCTGGTCATCCAGGAATGTGTAATACATGACATTAAGAACATAGGTGCTCCCCTCCAACTCATTATAAAAGGGGGAAAAAAGACATCGCCAAGATGAGTACCTTCAAGGGGACAACTCCAGAAGGACACCTGCAGGGTGACACCCACCTCTGATGACTACTACTACAGGCTCTCAGGGGACACTCTGCTCCAATACTGACTACAAACACTGACGGACTCCCACCACCTCCAACTACAGATCCCCATGGACCGCTGGATCCACAGTGGTGACTCTCTCTCTCTCTCTCCCTGCAGCCCGAATCCTTGCTTCATTCCCATCCTTTCTCCAATCTGCCCTATTGCTATCCCCTTTGTTACAATAACTTCCCTTTTTTATAATAATTGTCCTTCTGTAATAAACCAACTGATCAATTACACTACTTGACCTCATTTATAACTTAATTTCACTCTTGGGATCATGAACATAATAGCGTCCAACAGCTTCATAGACTTATAGAATCATAGAATAGTTAGGGTTGGAAAGGCCCTTAAGATCATCCAGTTCCAATCCCCCTGCTGTGGGCAAGGACACTTCACACTAAACCATGTCACCCAAGACTCTGCATCACTCCAGGTGTTTAATTTAGCCTGCTTACTGCAGGCTAAATTAAGCGGATGCTGTAAAGAATACTTATTACTCTGTCACTCGAGTAGGTCATTAATTCCAAGACCTTTGTATGTAGATCATGAGTTGATTAGGAAAGAATACTGTAGCACCAGTTGGTTTGCAGGGGGTGCCCTAGCTGGCCTGGTGAAAGAGGAAGAGGGAGATAGCAAGTTTGCTTTTAATGCTGCAGGAGGAGAGCAATATCACGGATGCTCCTGGCATTGATTTGTTAGGACAGGAGTTGTGGGAAGTGTAAGGGAGGGTAAGGAAGGAAAGAGAAGGAAAGGCAAGGCAAAGTGAGGCAAGGTGAAGCCCTCTTACCAGGAATTTAAGGTACAGAATTCATGAGACTGCTGACTTCAAGAAAATACCAGAACCGAAATCACTGCCTGACAGTCTTTGAATGAGACATTGAAGTCTAGCCTTGCAAATGTTTTCTACACTAGGGACTGTAGTGATAGGACAAGGGGTAACGGGTTCAAACTGAAACAGGGGAAGTTCAAGTTAGATATAAGGAAGAAGTTCTTTACTGTGAGGGCGGTGAGGCACTGGAACAAGCTGCCCAGAGAAAAGGTAAATGCTCCATCTCTGGCAGTGTTCAAGGCCAGGTTGGACAGAACCTTGGGTGACATGGTCTAGTTTGAGGCGTGGGGGGCAGGGACATGTCAGGGGGGGTTGGAACTAGGTGATCTTAAGGTCCTTTCCAACCCTAACTATTCTATGACTCTAGGACTGGTGCAAAAAATATTTGAGAATTCACTCTCATTGTCTCTACTCTCTCTCTCCCCTCTTTCTTTTTCTTTGTCCTCCCTTTCTCTCTATTTTGTACTCCCTTTTTTTGCCTCTTTTTTTTCCTCCGTTTTCTCTGTGCATGTATTCTTAGCAGAGAGATAATTTGGGGACCTTTTCTCCCTCCTACCTTCTGTAAAACCACAGAAGACCATCTGTTACTCCTATGGTGGGAGTAGAAAATATGTTTACTTTTAGTAACTTTCCATCAAGGAGATAAAATGAGTTAACAGTGTGCATCTACCAGAGCACTGGTGATCTATGGGCTGTAATCTAAGCATTAAGGGACTGAAAATAGCAGATACTCCTTTATATTCCTGTGTATCATGCCCATCAATACTTCTGTGATTTTCTTTGTACAATGCATATAGTTTGAACACCAATGCCTCCAGAATGCTAATTTATTTAGAAATAAGTCACCTCAATTTTCCTGAGAAATCAACTGAGTTGTTAGCAATTTACCTAAATTAAACAATGTGCCAGATTTCACATATGTACTTGTTTCTCCTTTGAAAATAGATTTACAGTTCTGCTTGCTGGTACCCAAAAAGGATATTTTGAAAATTTGAAACACAGCTGAGTTGTTCTTGATTTATAGGAAAGATTGCTGCTAGACACCTCCATATAACTGAAAGAGTTGGGGCCAGATCTCTTTTTACTTTGTTTTGATAATTCATACAGCCTTTTACAAGCATACCTTTGTGTTCATTATTTTGTTTTTATAGAGGAGCAGTATCAGCCTTGAACTTCATCCCTCAAAGGTTCTCCCTTTAGGAAATCTGTTTTATTTTCTTGCATGTATGGAAATGCATACTTTGAAGACCCTGGGTGCAAGGAGAGACTCCATCCAAGGTTTCACACTGAATTCTTCTGTGAGAAAACACATGACACATAAATGGACTGAGTAGGTGTCTCACGTGTCATTCAGCTCTCTTAAAAAATTGTACTAGTAAAACAAAGATGAATCATTCTAATACAGAGAACTTGCAGCCCACCAGGCCATTAATTCTAACATGTCATGCAAGAAAATAAAATGTTTTGCATAAGTAAAACAAAGAAAGTCGTCAAATTAAAGATGGTTATAATCAAATGAATGGATCTGAATGACTCATTTGAATGTTTGAATGTGCTGCCTGAGATAGCTAAGGAAAGGAATGATTAATGACAATGGATTAGTTGAAAAGGAGCATATACATAATGAAATTATAATTATTTGCTTGCTGAGCTAATAATAAACATGAATATTAATGAATTATTAATTCTTGCTATATAGCCATGTAATTCCTGTGAAACCATATACCACAGACTCTATCAGTGGATGCAATTTAGTTGCTTATTTTGTGAAAAACCTCATTAATTACTTACAAATGATCCAAAATACATGGCACTAGATGCTGAGCTGATACAAGTCTATATAGCCATATTTGGTGAATACAACCCTGAACCTGTTCTCACACAAAGAATCAGATTAGCTTATTGAGCTTGAAGTCCAACAGTTTTTAGAACCTCTCAGTGTCAATTTGGAGTTTTAGGAAGTAGGCATTCTTTATTTTGCAGCACAGGACAGACACATAAATCATTTTGCAAAGGTGAGCACACCTGGAGTCTACAGGTACCATCCATTATCCAACAAACATGCATATTTACAACCTTTCCAGGAAACGTTTTACATTAGATTTCATGGAACTACTTGTAATATTTGCATTTTAATTATGCATGTGCTTTTCTTACCAGAGGTGGTCTCAAGAGGTCTCTGATCGTCATTGATAGTGTTCCGCTGATTGATCTCTGTGCTTGTGCATGTGAAAATACTCTTGTGAATTACTTAACAATTGTGTCTGTGTTTTAGGTTAGTTCTGATTTGCTCCTCATCTTGAAGAACTGGCCCTGTCTGTCTTGGTCATGCCTTTCTCATCTTCTCAGGCTACCCTTGTTTTATACATACCTCAAGGCCCCACTGACCCATACTGCTCTCAACAAAGCGGGTCCAAGTTACAACCTAACATCTTGCTCTCAGCCGAGCAGTCCCAATTTACAACCTAACATCCTGCTGTCAACAGAGTGGTCCCAATTTACAACTTTGCATTTTAGGTTACAACAGGATGGGATTGTTTTTACCTACTTTTTCCTGTAATCAGAGAGGAATGTGTACTACCAGTGGGCATTGCAGCTCAGCGTTATTAACTTTTGCTGTATTTTAGTCCCGCATCTTAGAAATTAGTGTACTACAAAATTGATCGGAAAGGGCTCCTGTTATAACACGTGTCACTTCTCTGCAAGGCAGGAAGCACAGTTCATTATTAAAAGGAAGAATAGCAGCCTGAAGGGGGTCTTTTCAATTCCTTGTCATTTGAGAAGACTGGTAGTTGCAGTGTGCGTGTGGTACTCCAGGAAAGGGGGAATAGAATGATAGGATTTCGGGAAAGTGTCATAGTGAAAAAAAAAGCCATGATGAAGCTGATCTGTAGTCAGACGAATTAAAGAGTAAACATCATGACAGTAAGAAGAATATTGTAATATTAAATTTGAAGGAAGAAACAACGGACACAAAGCAAAATATTCACATGCAGTACAAGAATATTGTGAGCATATTGTGAGCATCCAGGAACAGCCAATGTTCTTTTGGAGTGGATTAGTGTAACCACAAGCAATTATTTAAATAAAATGGCTTATGATATAGGTGCTGCTCAGGCACGCTCCTGTTTAGCACAATATCATTTTGGCCCTGCACAGACTTACCGAGTGAACTTAAATGAGTTAATAAAGCCTTCTCTCTCTCTCTCTGTTCATCAGCTACAAAATAAGACAATAATAGAACTATAGAATAGTTAGGATTGGAAGGGACCTTCAAGATTATCTAATTCCAGCCCCCCTGCCATAGTCAGGGATATCTTCCACTAGATCAGGTTGCTCAAAGCCCCATCCAGTCTACCCTTAAACATTTCCAGGGATGAGGCATCCACAGCGTCTTTGAGCAACCTCTGCCAGTGTCTCACCACCCTCTTAGTAAAGAATATTTTCCCAGTGTTTAATCTGAGTCTACCCTCTTGTCCTGTCACTATGTACCCTTGTAAAAAGTCCCTTTCCAGCTTTCTTGGAAGACAACAGTCTTCCAGTACCTGAAGGAGGCCTACAAGAAATGCTTTGCCTACCTTGACTTTGCGCACTGTGTACACTTAATAGGTTGAGGACCTATTTCTTCTTAAATTTCTTTTGCCATAGTAGCTGCCAAGGCGGGCTTTTGTGTAGATGATCTCTTACATTTGCATTTATTGTGTTAAGGCTTCAGCTGAAGTGCTGAGAATGCCATCAGGGCTTGATCCATTGCTCTTAATTACAAAGATCCCAAGGGCTACAAAGGTTCTGGCTGACTGAGAAAGAAGGAGCAGAAAAAATTCAGAAGTACAAAAAATGAAATAGAATTAATTTATTGCTATGTTTTGCTGAGGTTTTTAACTGGTTATTTGCTGGAATACACTGGTCTCAAACTGCAGGTGTGGGTGCTCATACTGTGTGGACGCAGCCACTGTTGCTGAAGCTTTCCAAGGATTTGTTATTTTTTTTTTAAAAGGTTACTAGAATTATTTTCACCTGCTTTGTCAAGCACTCTGATGTACTAATTGCCTCATCATCACAAGGAAAGTTCACAAGACCTCACTACCTTATCAGGCATATCTGTGTTTTAGCCTTTGAGAGATAAAGCAGGAGCTACTATATAGAACAAATGTCTGCTAAAGAAATACATGTATTGCTGTTTGGGAGGCAGGCATGGGCTTCTTTTCTTTTGTTGCTCTTCACTGTTAATTCTAGAATTAAATTCTAATTTTTCCTAAGATGATCTATTTCTGTTTCTTGATTTGCATATTTTGGTATGTCTGTGTTCCTTTTTTAAACCTGGAGTGGGATATTGTGCGAAATTGAAGTGATCTTTCTGCTTGATTCTAGGATTACAATTTAATTTTCTATGAACGCAGTGCATATTCTGGGTATAATACCAAGAAGTCTGTGCTTCACTTAGCTAGGTGCGAAGAAAACGCAGTCTGTGAATCCTATATGTCCCTGGCATGTGACTGGTGACAGAGAAAACTGTTTAATAAAGAAGTTTGATAGGTAATTACAGTGATAAATTATTTGTTCCTTTTAAACTGGTCTGTAACCAGACCTTGTTGCTTCAGTTGAGCTCAGGTTCATAGAAAGTCCCATGTAAACTAGTGAAGCCATGGATAGACCTAGAAACACCTGGACTGCTGCTAGGAAAGCTGAGGACCTGTGATGTTGTGATAGTTCTTGCAGGAAGTTCTTGGAAGTTTGCAGAAATGGTCTTGGAAACAGATGCTGCTGGATCCTTGCAGCAGAACATTGGATGTTCTTCCTCTGCTCATTACAGTTCAAACTCTGCTGTCTGCCTCGGGGCTGGGGGAGAGTAAGATGTAGATTTTTTTAAGTTATATAAAGGCTAAGAGTAAAAGTACAGGTAAAGCTGTCCCCTCTGCACTACTCACAGAGAAATCTGTATCTCTGTGCATCATATAGAGATGAAAACACTGGTAATTCGCTGGCAGATCTTGAATATTTTTTCTGAAGTTAGTGATACGGTGACGGAACACTGGAACAGGCTGCCCAGGGAGGTTGTGGAGTCTCCTTCCCTGGAGACATTCAAAGCCCGCCTGGACACATTCCTGTGTAACGTTATCTAGGTGTTCCTTTTTCTAGATGATCTTTTGAGGTCCCTTCCAATCTCCAGCATACTGTGATACTGTGTGTGTGATACTTTGTGAATGTGTCGGGTAATTGATATACATTTAGTTAGCCAGATGTGTTTTTCTTTTTGCTCCAGCCTCAACAATAACAAGTAAAAGTCATTGTTTTGAATCTCTGTAATATACAGTAAGTGCTAACAATCAGCAACAGTTATATATTTCTAACTAAATGAACAAAAGTGTTTTTGTCATGGAGTCACATTAATTATACTTTTTTGGTTGTCCACAAAATTCTGTCATTTTCTGTCAGTCTCTGGATAATTTTATAGGCTTAGGGAAAATGCATTTTGCTTTGATCTGTTATGGGTATTATTGACTTTTTTTCTCAAATGTATTGTTTCTTTCCCTGAGGATTTTAAAGGAACACAAAGATAAAGTGAAAGAGAAAACCACTGAACTTCAAGCTGATATGAATAAAAAGTCTTGCTGTGTCAGGCCATAAAATGCTGGGGCGTGTTTAGACAAGTCAGACATTTATATCACACTACATGGCACCATCAGATTTGCTTTATCTGCCAAATATTTCTTCTGCTGTGTTGTGAGTGTAGGTGTAAGTGAAACTTAAAATCCTTGTATGCTCTGATCTTCACTTTAACAAATATTGTCTTTAGTTAATTGACGATGTACTTGGGACAGTAACAGTCTTTTATTCTGTCTGATGCCTAACACCACTGAATCCTGATTCATGATCATGCTTGTAGAAGCTGCTGCATTATTAATAACAAGAAATAATTTTATAGGAAGAAGAATACTTGGAATGTGAAGTAAATTCTTACTGGCGTGGATGACCTATCTTCTGAACACTTCTGTTTATTTCAGTGCTCTTCAGATCATGATTTTGTGCTCACCTTTGTTACAGTGCTTTTAAAAATACACATAGTACCTGGTTGGTTGTTTAATAGCAACACACCGGCAAAGTGTAAGGTGGTATTTTCAATCTTAGTGTGAAATATACATGAGCAAAGGATTGAAGAACTAAGATTTTCATAAATAGCATTAACTCATTTATACTATATGTTGTTGCATGTAGGTCCTTGATAAGAAAACCTTCCTCCCACTTAGGTGTGATGAATTAAGTATGTTTAGATGGATTGCTCAGATACTATAGAGGCTTGCCCGAGTTGTCGTCGAAAAAACCAGCATGTTTTGATTGTGAAGTTGGACTAACACAAAACCCTAATTTAAACCTCAAGAAAAGCAACAGTTTATCCCAATTTCAATTAGGGAAGAAGATTTATCTGTTTAAATATTGGCTTTGGTAGTTGATTTTGAATGATCTGATCCCCTGTTGTAGGTCTTTCCTACCCCATCAATATCATAACTTGCAATGTTCCTTCCAACCTCCAACAGCCTCAGGAATTCTGTTTGAAGGCTTAATTTCAGCTTTACTAACTCTAGCCTTGCAAAACTCCAAATTCAGATTCTTAATTTTTTTTCCCTCAAGCTTATCTTGATTTTGGAAGCAAGTGACACATAAGGTGGATCTTCTTTATGGGAATTCTATGGGATTATTTTTATTTGGACATCTATTACTGTACACTGAGACCCCCCTAGCAGGGTAGACAATGCTAAGGAGCAACTGAATCCTGGGGTGATTTCTTTTTCTTCATCTATTACAGTGAAATCTGGTGCTGTCTAAGACCCAAGAGGCATCTCCCATCTCAGACTCATAGCTGTGGCTGCTGCTGTTCCTTTTTACAAGTCCAGCCAAATCCAAGCTGAGTACGCATTGCAAAGATGCAGATAAACAAAATAACATCATCAGCCACACAGGCAATACAGAGAGTAGTCTCCCCACTGCTTCTCACTCACATACAAAGAGCATTCCCATAAATATGAATACAGGTAGTCCAATCTTTCTTTTCCTTTCCAATTGACCATGATTGAAGCTTGCTGATTAAAATATACACATACACATACTCTTATAATTTCAGTGCTTTCTCTTCCCCACTGCCATCCCTCTCTCCCCAGGATCCTAGTCATAGTCATCTTTCTGCACACCTTTACAAACAGCAATTATTTGTTATTTAATGCTCACAGCAGATAGGTGTGAAAAGCATGCTACAAGGCTCTACTTCTGGACAAATTCTACTGGCCAGGTGGTCATCAAACAGGTGTGGGAATTGTCAGCTTTCAGTGTTCCTTGATGCTAACAGATCCTTTGCATTGCTAAAAGCTTTTTGGTAAAGGGAAGCAGAGATCATGATGCAGCTGTCCATCATGAAACTGGACTCTGGGTCATACCTTATCTAGATTCACCCTTTTTCAACTTACAGCCATTCCCCTTTGTCCTTTCATTATGGACCCTTGTCAAAAGTCCCTCTCCAGCTTTCCTGTAGCCCCCCTTTAGGTACTGTAAGGCTATAATGTCTCCCTGGAGCCTTCTCTCTTTTTCTCAACCCCAAATCTCTCAGATTGTCTTCATAGGAGAAATGCTCCAGCCCTCTGATATTTTCATGGCCTTCCTCTGGATTCGCTCAAGCTGGTCTACATCCCTCTTGTCTGAGCGCCCCAGAGCTGAATGCAGTACTCCAGGTGAGGTCTCACAAGAGCAGAGTAGAGGGGAAGAATCACCTCCCTCAACCTGCTGGTCATGCTCCTTTTGATACAGCCCACGACATGGTTGGTTTCTGGGCTGCAAACGCACACTGCTGCTTATGTTGAGTTTCTCGTCAACCAGCATCCCCAAGTCCTCCTCAGGCCTGCTCTCAATCCAGTTTCCGCCCATCCTGTAGCTGTGCTTGGGATTGCCCTGACCCAGGTACAGGACCTTACACATCATTGCAAGTCTTTTCTCATTCCCTGAAGAGCCCAGGGCTTTCTCACTGGAATTCGCCAATTTTTGTAGCCTGAACAGGAAGGGAGTAGGGAAGCAGGTGGAATTGAGACATTCAAATAGAATATTATGTCACTCATGTTACTTGAGCTGCTGTTTGTGTTATGTGGGTGATGAGCAGTGAAGACATTGCTCTTTGTGTTGTCTGTGTGAGTGATGACGTTAGTTTTGTGTGTGGATCTGTATCTTTGCAGTATGTGCTCAGCCTGGGTTTTGGCTGGACTTGAAAAAACAAAGAGCAGCAGCCACAGCTATCATCCCTCTATTACATTTTGTATTGTGCCCTGTTTATCCATATTTTATCTTGTGCCAGCTTTATCTCATGTGTTGTGAGATCTGTGTTCTTTTGCTCTGAGCATACAAATAGTGGTATTTTCCAGATCTCCTGATACTGTATTCAGCCTCCTCTTTTTACTTTTTCTGTCTTGTCAATGGCCATATTGCAAAATGAGCATTATCAACTTTTGAAAATCATAGTCTGCCTATTTGCAAGATTCAGTGCTCCCGCAGCACTAAAATCAAGTCTTGCTTTTGCAGAGCAATCAGGAATGTGAATACTGCTGTATCTGTATAGCTGTTATAAATGCTCATGAGCTATCTTTTTCAGGGAGGAGAGTAGAGGGTGGGTTTGTGACTCACTGTCCCTGCCAGTCATTACTTCTCTGTTTTACCTTTTACAAGTCAGTAGAACTCTGCAATAAACCAGTTTATGTTACTGCCTTGTCAAAATCTCAGGAAAGAAGGGAGGAGAAAAAGAAGACAGTTCTCTACTGCATTAGTGAGCTGAAGTAGCCAAGTGAAATCTGGTAAAAACTGGAACTAGTGGGATGATATGGGTGGAAAAAAAACAGCTGAGATTCAGTTGTGAGAAAAGAAGTCTAGAGGGCTGCGCAGTCCATTTTCAGTAGCAGCAAGGTATTTAGTTGTCTCATCTGTTTGCAACTTCATCTTTAAATGCAGATACATGGAAGGAGATATGAACTACTTCACTATGCTTCTCAGGTGGTTTGGGGGGCCAGTGGTGAGCTCAGTATTGCTGCAGCCAGACACCAGTTTGGATACCTCTGCTAGGGGCTGAAAAGCCTCAAGACTACTATTGCTTAGCTCAGAGACACAGCATTCACCTGCAAAGCTTAGTGTGGTTCCCCTGTGAGTGTGAGCTATTTCTGCACTTCCTTGCTCCCAGGTACAAATAATTGAACTATGTTATACTGCACTACAACACAGATTTGATAAAGGTTATTTGAATCCATACTATTAAGGCTTACCAGCTGACATAGCAATCCTGTATTGTATGGATCTATATTATGAAGCTGTAATAAGACTGTTGTTCATCCCTTTGAAACAGGTATTATTGCAACAGAAACTGATTTGCATTAAATGGCTTCACTAAGGGGAAATCCTGCCTGACCAATTTGGTGGCCTTCTATGATGGGGCTACAGAACTGATGGACAGGGGTAGAGCAGTTGATGTCATCTACATGGACTTGTGCAAAGTGTTCGACACTGCCCCACACGACATCCTTGTCTCTAAATTGGAGAGACATCAATTTGATGGATGGACCACTCGGTGGATAAAGAACTGGGTGGATGGGCACACACAAAGAGTTGTGGTCAACGGCTCAATGTCCAGCTGGAGACCAGTAACGAGTGGTGTCCCTCACGGATCGGTGTTGGGACTGGTCTCGTTTAACATCTTCATCGCTGACATGGACAGTGGGATTGAGTGCGTGCCCTCAGCAAGTTTGCCAATGACACCAAGCTGTGTGGTTTGGTTGATACGCTGGAGGGAAGGAATGCCATCCAGAGGGACCTTGACACACTTGTGAGGTGGGCTGATGCCAACCTCATGAAGTTTAAACATGCCAAGTGCAAGTCCTACACCTGGGTCAGAGCAATCCCAGGCACAGCTACAGGTTGGGCAGAGAAGAGATTCAGAGCAGCCCTGCAGAGAAGGACCTGGGGGTGTTGGTCGATGAGAAAATGAACATGAGCCGACTTCAGTGTGCACTCGCAGCCCAGAAAGCCAACTGTGTCTGGGCTGGATCAAAAGTAGCGTGACCAGCAGGTCGAAGGAGGTGATCCTGCCCCTCTACTCTGCTCTTGTGAGACCTCACTTGGAGTATTGTGTGCAGTTCTGGTGTCCTCAGCCGAAGAAGGACATGGAACTGTTGGAACCAGTCCAGAGGAGGGCCACGAGGATGATCAGGGGACTGGAGCACCTCCTGTATGAAGACAGGCTGAGAAAGTTGGGGCTGTTCAGCCTGGAGAAGAGAAGGCTGCGTGGAAACCTCATAGCAGTCTTCCAGTATCTGAAGGGGGCCTATAGGGATGCTGGAGAGGGACTCTTCATTAGGGACTGTAGTGATAGGACAAGGGGTAACGGGTTAAAACTTAAACAGGGTAAGTTTAGATTGGATATAAGGAAGAAGTTCTTTACTGTAAGGGTGGTGAGGCACTGGAATGGGTTGCCCAGGGAGGTTGTGAATTCTCCATCCCTGGCAGTGTTCACGTCCAGGTTGGACTTGAACACTGGTTGACATGGTTTAGTGTGAGGTGTCCCTGCCCATGGCATGGGGGTTGGAACTAGATGATCTTAAGGTCCTTACCAACCCTAACTTTTCTATGATTTTATGATTCTATTAAATAGTGGCAATTTTGTTTAATACTTCTTGTTAGCAAGATTCTTAGGGTTGTGTAGATCAGCAGCTAAAGTATCTTTCTGTCATCGCTATGGAGATTATGTAGCTGTGCAAAGATAGACTTCTGAAGGGTGCTATCAATCAAGAAACTGTAGTCATGCAAAATCAACA